TCATTCTCTGGGGGGAGGGGGTCCACCCCCCCCCCCTGCGGATATATGTCTGAGATAAACACTTAACGTGATTCCACTTGGACAGCTATTCCATCGGGGAAAAAATATTTACAAAAATTAATATCAATGTGTTTTTTTTATAAGTAGAAAATTCACCATGTTAATGTTTTTCTTTAGCGGCGTATTTTTTTTTAAAGACCCTTAATTGTTCTGATAATAAAATCTAAATCTCTAAATCAGTCAGAGATGTTTGTTAACAATTATGTGGGCCGACACTTTAAACAGTGGCGAACTAAAACTTTTTAAAAATACATGTAGGCCCTATTAGTTCACGAACAATGTAGGCCTAGAATGAAAATAAGATTAAATAGTGGGCCTACCTGTGATAATTCTGCAACGTGTAACACTGTAAAAGGGGCTGGCTTGCTATGTGGCTCACCTTTTTTTCCAATATTGCTAGTTCCACTTTGAAGGGAAAACCCCGATCTTTGCTTTTAGTTTCTTTTACACGTAGATGGAGTCTTGATACTGAAACTGATCTCTAATAGCGATTATAATAATAAAATACTCATACAGAATCCCATTATGAACGTTAAGTTTAATTTTTTTTTTAAAAATATCTTCTTGCAAATATAGAAACTTTTTTATTTTTAAAGTCAACCCTCAATTGACAAATATTTTCATAGCAGAAGGTAAAACGAAAATAAGTAGCATTTATTCCAAGAATTCAAAGTGACTTGAGGACATAGACCTACTTTCGAAGGGGCTTGTTCCGCATGAGTGAACCATGACCTTTATAAAGTTGCGTTGCTAGGGTGAGTGCCGCCCGGGGCGGGCCGAGCTTTCGACACCGACTTCCACAGATTCAGCAAGAGTTAACCACTGTGCATAGATACAATCATACAGACCACAGCAAGGGTTAACAACTGTGTATAGATACAATCATACAGACCACAGCAAGGGTTAACCACTGTGTATATATACAATCATACAGACCACATCAAAGGGTTAACCACTGTGTATAGATACTTTGTATAGCTAAAATTATAAAGATTGCAGCAGGCGTGGGGGGGGGGGGGGGGAACCCAACCCAAATGGCTTCACAAGCCCTTAGATCACGCGTCAACTCTTCGAGGGTCACGTCTTCACATTTATTAATTTAAGAGACGATGGAGTAGCTTTATACACTTTAACAATGGTTCACTAATCCAATCCTGAACTGATAATATCGGCTGCATTTCTCGCAGGAGAATCTTGACTCCTCGTTAGATTTTGCCTTCAGCATTATTTTTTTTTGTCGCACGGGCTTCGTTTCGCGCATCTTCTGTCTTTTTGACTCCTTCATACACTGTTGTTCGCCAGACGGAACTTCGTTCAGCAACAGTGGCGTAGCTAGGGATAGCTAGGGATTTGGGGGCCCGGGGGGGGGGGGGCTTGGCCCCTTTGGGGGGCCCCCCCCTTTTTGCCTTCGCCATTTTTTTTTTAAAAAAAATTTTTTGGACGGCCCTTTTTGGCCCCCCCCCCCCCCCCAAGTAGGGGACCCGGGGGGACTTTTGAATTTGGACCCCCTCCCCTAGATACGCCACATCTCAGCAATGATCTCTCATTTGTTGATTTCTATGTCGGCTACCCTCGCGTTCCTTTAGCAAACTGCCATAAATCGCATTCGTTGCCGTCCAATAATTCTTTTCCTTTCTGCCAACTCTCCATGCAGCAGCTTCTTTGGATACGGCCTTCCTCCATTCTCTTTACATGGCATAACCAGCCAAGGCTCCCGTAGCTAAGAGCGGAAACTATGGTACACATGTATACAATATACAACAAATGAACGCTGTACATATTTATTTATTTATTTATTTATTTTGAATGCACTCTTCTATACGTGTCAACCACACAGAGAATAAACTATATAGCTAAACCTATCAGCCATTATACTCATAAAACTCTTTATAGCTAAACCTGTCAGCCATACACATTATAAAGTGTATAGATTGTAAGTGAGAAAACGCTATTTAAAATATACACAGTAGATTCAAAGTTGTCGTTCATTGTCTAATCGATTGTCGTGGGAAAAAAGGGGTGGGGGGTGGGGGAGAAGAAATTCTAGTGCACTGTCCGATGGTTCCCGATTGAAAGTTTGGGGAATGGGATTTTGAGGGTGCTGTCACAAAACGGGACCTAAACACATCTCTTTAAACTCTACTATCCTGACTGAACCCCCCCCCCCTCTTTTTCTCTGACCATTTAAACGCTGCTGCTGGGTCCCGTCCATGGCTTGACATGTAAATAGTTCTGGAATGGCTGGAGTGAATAGACTTTAAAAAAAAAACTCTACTATCCTGACTGAACCCCCCCCCCCTCTTTTTTCCTGACCATTTAAACGCTGCTGCTGGGTCCCGTCCATGGCTTGACATTTAAATATTTCTGGAATGGCTGGAGTGAATAGACTTTAAAAAAAAAAAAATGTATACAACTGTTTTTTTTTTATTAATGAAGGTTTGTTAAAATATATTTTAATGTCATAATTAATGTTTGCTAATTTTTTTATTTGCAGCGTGGTGAGCCAAACCCTAGGCTGGGGTACCGCGCTATATAAGACAACCGTAATAATAATAATAATAATAATAATAATAATAATAAAGTTCATTTAAAAAACACGCTTCATCCTCAAAGGCTCGAAGCGCGGTACAAAGTCAACAAAAAACAAATCTATAATTTACCACATTTAAAATAAAAGCAACACTACAAAAACTAAGTACAAGCATACAATGGCAAAGTCTTTCTAGCCATTTCAATCATAAGCAACACAGCCATTATGCATTAACTGGAAAGTAAGGTAGACAATCATCCCAGAAGGTGTTTGCGAAATAGATGTGTCTTTAAATCGGTTTTAAATGACTCCAGTGTCTGGTTGTTTCTGAGATCGACAGGAAAGGCGTTCCAAATTGTTGGACTAGCAAATGCGAAAGTGCGTTTTCCGTAAGTCTCAAGGCAAACACGTGGTGTCGAGAGTTTGCCACTATCGGATGAGCGGAGCTCTCTAGTGGGTACATAAGGCGTCAGCAGCTCTTTCAGATAGGACGGCGCCAGGTCATGTAAGCAGCGGTAGCACAAAGTTGCGATTTTGTACTCTATGCGAGCACGCACGGGCAGCCAGTGAAACTCTCTCAGAAATGTTTTTGCATGGTCGAACTTGCGTTTGCGGAGAACAATGCGAGCCACATTATTCTGTGCTCTTTGAATTTTATCCAGGAGCGTAGCTGGAAGACACAACATGAGAGCGTTGCAATAGTCCATGCGTGATAGCACAAATGCAGACATCAGCCTCTTTGTTGCATCAATTGTATAATAATAATATAAATAATAATAATCACCAACCCCTAAGTACGTCGCACTTAATAAATATTTAAAAAAATATATAAACAAAATTAACGACTCATTAAACCTGAACCCAAACACACAGTTCACTATTAAAATTAAAAACAGCTAAGTGGCATCTTCTGTCAGGATGCATCCAGCACTACGGAGAGTTAAACATCATTGTCAATATCGGCTTTTATATGTATGATTACAAATTACATAAATGTGTCACATATGATTTAACCCCTCCCCCTCCCCGTGTCACAAAAGTGTCACAATTTCTTAGACCCCACCCGCTCCCCCCAACCCGAGCGTGACGTCACTTATGGAAAATCCCTAGGTGTCCATTGACATGGATGTGTTAAATAAATCGTTTATTTTTAGTTCAGATTTGAGATCACAAATTCGAATTGTAAGTTGATTTTTAAAAAATCAGACCAAAATAGGGGAATGTATTGCATTGCGAACAGTCACAAAAACAAAAACAAATGAAAATTGATTCAAGAAAGAAGTTCATTAAAAAAATACATGTGGCAATTATTAGCAAAATTAACGGGAAATATAAAAAAAATAGTCGAACACACTACATTTTTATTTTATTAAAATTTACATGCACGCATTTTTTTTAATGCACATGAACATCACGTGTGCATCGTGCGCGCGCATGAGCGCACCTGAGAAGGAACAGCAGTTCAATCCCAATCAGCCAGAATTTGGCCCATAAACAAATGGTTATCAGAAAACCTTGTAAATTCTTCAAATATTAAACGTAAAATAAAATACACCTTGCAAATGACGTTCAATAACAAAAAGTAACAATAATTTGGGTGCAATTTTAATTGCAAAAAAATTCTTAAAATACATTGAAATTGAAATAACTTGTCATTTAAAAAAAATTGGAATGATGAAGTTTTTAGACTTGAACATATAATTTTAAAAGATAAAATTCAATAAAGTATTGAAAACTCGAATAACAGCGCAAACATATATTTTTGTTGTTGTTTTGTTCCGAATAATGATAAAACACTAAGACAAGAAATGTTTACAATTATGTTTTAATCTAATCATGAATTGTATTTACCTGTGCCATAACAACATTTTTAACACACAAAATAAGAAAAAATATAACGTAAATATGAACACAAAGGATACAGAGAAATACACCTCTTTAAAACTAAAATGGCAACTACATTGCAATTCAATGGACAAAAAAAAGTCAAATTCAAAATGTCTTTCTTTCCCCACAACAGTTAGTTGTAAAAGGGAACGCCTTTAACCCTGAAAGAAATGGAACAATAAATACAATTATTAAATTAATGGGCAAATAGAAACGTCAAACTCTTACCACATTTATGGTAGAAATAGAATGCAAGTATATTTTAACCAGTTATTGGGTGGTTAGCAAAACTTGATAGGAGCAAGATGGTGAAAATAGAAACAGAAAAAACTCCAGCTCGTCTTGCTGCTGTTAAAATAAAATATTCTCTATAGCCTTGTTAACGCTCCGGTGTATTCAGGAAATTTCTTGCAATGACAGTGTTGAGAAGGCATACGCCATTGCGTTCAATAATTTTAACACAATCGACAGTCTCTATTTTCTTGGTTCTGAAATCCCTGTTCATCTGTCGGTTGAAGCCGGTGGCCAGGATGAGGAGTTCTTTATTGAAGACAACAGCTCCGTGAAGTGACAGATATTCATCAAACAACTTCCCTCGGAACTCCATTTTCAAATCTTGGTTGTCGCAGTTGACCACCTTCCACAAGTCTCCCGTCTCTAGAAGAATAAAAGTATCCTTACCATTCTTGAAACTGACCATGGGAGCGTGCTCGCCCATGATGCTGTCTGTGTAGACGCTTGTCGTCATAGTTGACGTATTAAAGCTTTGGACAATGGTCACAGTGCTGTTTGCTTTCTTTCCATACACCACGATGTACTTTCCGAAGACTGTAGCCATGACGTTGGTCACCTCAAACTTCAGGTCACCAACTTGTTCCCACATTACAGAATTGGGAGCTCGCTGTTCTTCTTGGGCATTGAACCTGTCAATGGCTTTGTTGTTGGCCCCACCAATGACGTAGACGTAATTGTCCACGCATACAAGAACGCTTCCATCTCGTTGGATCGACAGGTTGGTCAGGTTGACCCAAGTATTACTAGATGTGCTGTATCGCAGTGTGGCCTGGACATTACTGCACGCGGAAACCATGTATAGGTCGTTGTCATAGGTAACTGCGCTGACTTTAAACAGTGCAGGGTGGGTCATCCTATACCAGGTTCCATCAGGAGTTCTACAGGTCATTCTGTAGGCTCCTTTGGCATCCACGGTTACAACCACCGTGACGTTCTGTAGTGGACTCCTGTTTCTGTGCATGGCGTAAGGTGGACAGTAGTCATGACGTCTTCCAGGTTGAAGCCGATACCTCAGAGCTTCACGTACTATTTTAGAGGCCGCTGGACTTTTTAAAACACACTCGTCATCTGAAAGGGTATTTATGAAAGTTGCGCTGACAAGACACACTCTAGCAGACTTAAGGAGCTCTGGCAGCCTTTTCTTTATAACAGTATCCAATCTTGGATTTCCTTCACTACTATGGAAGTTTGTCCACCTCAAAATAGTCTCGACTACGTCATCCTCCGATCTAGCCCCAAGATGGTCATTGCCGACAAGCAGTTTCAATTCTTCAAAATCAAGGGCAAGTAAATCATCCCGTTTTCTGAGGTAGTCGAATTCCTCAATCATTGTCTCCCTTGCCTTATCCAACAATCTCCCCGCGTTGACTTTCTTGGCGTGGATGATGATATCCACACAGCAGTCCTTGGACAGACGTTGGTACTGGAACTTCTCACAAGCATCGCAAAGAAAATCAATTTGAAGATGTTGAGCCGCGTTCCACACACTTTCCACGTTGTCAACCGTGAGGTCTTCCTTGGCACCATACAGGCAATCCAAAACAAGATTAAATGTATCTGGTTGCGTCTCGCTCATTTCAATCACTTGAGGAAAATGGCCTCCAGTCTCATTGCTAAACACCTCCCGGAAGTATTGGGAGCAGGCACTTAGGATGAATCGATGACACTCAAAACGTATCCCCCGGACCTCAATGATAACGTCGTGGAAGGAAAGTCTTCCTCGCTGTTCTTCTAAGCGCTGGGCTATCTCTAAGGCCAGTCGGCTCGAGGCAGGCATTGTCCTTGTTGAGCGATTGTTAAAAGAAATCGGCCAATAAACTACCAATAAACCTGTTGGGGTTAAATGAAATCTCGTGAGAAGTGAAGTAAATCTTAACACCAAATAGTTATAACTTTAGTTTCTTAAAATAGAGGGTCATGGCGACTTGATAGGAAATATCAGCCAAGAACACACAGGATGTAACACATATTAACACAAGGTTTAACACATGTTATAATGACAAATTAATGCAAGGAAAAAAAAATGAATTCTGTTTTCAAAGAAACTAGTATTCGAAAAAACAATGACGTAGAAGAGTCACACGTTTCCAGGAGGTTATTAAATTAAATCCAGAAAGGTTCGAGAAAGTTATTTATTGTTCCATGGGGAATATATGGGAGATCTAAAAGCTTATGGAGATATTAGTTCAGTTCTATTTATTTCTATACTCCTCCGAAGACCCTCAGCATTGTTTTATTTTTCTTTTTATTTTAAATTATATGTTTCGTGAGGTTTCCTTCTAGATTATTCTAGAAGCTTCATTTTTTTCCTTCTAAAAATGGTTCTAAGGTTATATAAATGCCCTTAACAGGTTTATCATGCTTACATAACTTTCAATTAGAGACCGACCGAAAGTGATTTTCTGATTTCGGCCGAAGCCGAAAATAGGCCGAAAGTTTAAAATGACTTTCGGCCGAAACCGAAAAAAGACCGAAAGTTTAAAAATGACTTTCGGCCGAAACCGAAAAAA